ACACACACACACACACACACACACACACACACACACACACACACTTCTGTACTCCCAGATCCCACATCTATGTATGCAACCTGTGGATCAAAAAAAATTTCAGGAAAAAATTGCACTGTTCTTAAGATAGACTTTTTTGCCATTATTCCCTAACCAATTCAACCATTTATACATTGCATTAAGTATTGTAAGTAATCTAGACAGGAGTAGAAATACATAGGAGGAAGTAAGTAAGCTATGTGCAAGTACTATGCAACATAAGGCACTTATCCAGATTCTGATGTCCTTGGGGGTCCCAGAACAAGTTCTCCGTAGATACTAAAGGACGATCATATAGCCTCCTGGGTAAGAAGCAGTTGAATTTCTGAAGGGAGGTCCCCACTCCTCTCCAAAGCATGTCTTCTAGGAGTGAAGGCAGTGGTTGTGAGGTGCTGTGCCCAGCGATTCTTCACACAGACTGCATATTAGAATCAACTGGTCTGTTTTTTTTTTTTTAAGCCATCAACATAGGATGAATTTGGTAGAAAGGATGCAAACAGAGATCACAGGTGATATGGCTTGGAATGGATGGAGGGATAATCATGGAACCTACTTACCTAACAGTTTTGTAAAACATTGAGTGCTCGGATCACTTAGAGCACCTGGGCTTCACTGATGCCGCCTGTTTGTCAGATTCTGCTAGGTGCTGTGAGTGGAGGCTGAGATGCCTCACTTGTACTCCTAAGGAGCTCAGGGTGCACTAGCAAGATAAGCCCCAAGCCTAATTAACTCTCCCGCAAAGGAGAGAATAGCAAAATGCCATCAGATCACACAAAGGATGAGAAACAGTGATACGTTATTTCTTGTAATAATAAATGGTAAGAGGAGGAGGAAGACAAGCCCACAAAATCCATGACATTGAAGAAAAGAGACGGATGAGATTTGCCAGGGATGAGATAATACTTGTAGGGACAAGCAGTCTTGCACTGAATCAAAGACAAGATGGTGCTACAGTGAACCACATTGTATCTGTCAAGCCCCTGACCCCCCACCACCTTACCTCCCATCTTGTAGGTAATGAGACCTCCATTTGATATTCAAAGCCCAAAGACCTTTTCTCGCTGCTCCTTTGCAGCCCTCATCGGGGACAAGACTGGGATTAGGCCAATGGATACTCCAAGTGTAATGAATGAAGCAGTGATAAGGAGGATGGTGAGGGTCATCTGCAGGGTGACAGGATACTGGTAGTACCATGGCTGAACTGCTCCTGGTGAGGATTCTGGGAATGTGAACCTCCAGTGTCCTACAGATGTATTTATTTTGTGGCACTTTATTTATTTGGTGGGGGGTGCCCTTGTGTGGAGGTCAATTCTGTTTTCACCATGTGGGTTGTAGGGATCAGGTCATCAAGCTTGGTGACAAGTGCCTTTACCTGCTGAGGCATCTCACCAGCCCTATTTTGTTTTGTTGTTCTGTTACTCTGTGTGAGTGTGTGTGTGTGTGTGTGTGTGTGTGTGTGTGTGTTTTACAGTTTTTTTCAAATCAAGAATCTTGACTGAGATAGGATTTTTTCAGTCAGATTGCTCTAGTGATAATTTATGAATGAGGAAATAGGTTAGCCAGGGTCTTGGGTTCAGCATGACTTGACCATATGGATTCCGTGCCTTGCACGGAGAACTTTGAGCAAGAAGGGTGTAAGTGATAAATTTATGACAAAGCTGAAGGTTGCATCTAACTGACTTCTCTATCACATTTGGCCAAATGAGCACTTGAAGTCCACAGTTCTGGCCATTCTGTCTGCAGTAAGGTAGTATGGAGAGGGAGCCATTGACAGTTAGGAAGAAAGGCTTCCACAAATCCAAATGAGGTGGGCTTCTGGCCCAGCCTTGACAGCACTGCACAGAGAGCACCAAGGAGAAAAGCTGTCCTCTCTCCTTCCGTCTACCGGCACCTGTGGGCTGTGTGGTCGTGGACCACATTCATTTGTTCATTCACTATATACCTCAGCTGGACATTGAGAATACTGGAGTGAAAGGACAAGAGACCCATCTTGTTAAAGACTGCAGGTTGGTAGAGGACACAGCATGATAGGTGTTATACTAAACTCATGTTGAGATGCTGGGGAGCAGCCATTGATGTAAAGGGAAGTTGAGATGGCCTCATGGAGGAGGTGGGGTTTGTGATGATTCTTTTTTATTATGTGTATGTGAGTTTATGTGCACCACATGTGTATAGTTCCCAAGGAGACAAGAGAGTGTTGAATATCTCACCTCGAACTGGAGTTACAGGTGGTTGTGAGCCATCTAATATGGGTGCTGGAAACTGAACTTGGGTCCTGTACAAGAGCAGTAAGTGCTCTTAATCACTGAGCCATCTCTTCAGCCCCTTTGAGCTGATTCTTAATACCCAGTGTTGAACAGTGAGTGTGGATAGAGGGTTCCTGCAGGCAGTGAAATTGTGCTGACCAGTGACTGCTGAGCATGGTATAGGGCCAGGGAAGTCATAGACTGTGCAGGTCCTGCTTATCAACCAATAGGAGCCACTGCTTTAGGGTCAGGGTTGGGTTGAGTTGCTCTGGCAGGGCCTAGAATGTCACAGGAGTGCTGAGGGAAGATGCTGACTGGTATCATGATTGATCAGCAGTTCTCAAAGTGTGGTTCCCAGCCATCAGCATTAACATCACTTTGGAACTCACTGGAAATCTATATTCCCAGATCCTTCCCCACACCTCCTGAGTCTGAAATGCCAAGAATGGCATCCAGAAATCAGTGGTTTGAGAGGCACTGAGATGAGTCTGATACCTGCTCAATTTGAGAACTACTGTATGGTCCATGTAAGATATGATGGTGGACCTACCTGAAATAGCAGGGTGAAATGGAGGTCAAGGAATGGGGAAGCTAGCCCAGAGGCTGAGCTAGAAGAAGTGGTGTGGAAGTGGGTGGAGAGTGGGGAGGGGGGTGCCAGGGGAATAGAAAGGGCTAAAGCAGGATCTAGTTGGGCACAGCAATGCCTGTAATCCTAGCATCTGGGAGATGGAGGTAGGGAAATTGTGAATTTAAGGACAATTTGGCCTACATAGCAAGACCCCGTCTCAGAAGACAAAACAAAAAAAATTAACAATAGGCAGAATTGGGCTGTGAAGATGATCACGAGGCAAAGGCTCCTGCCATGTAAGCAATGACAAGCTTGGATCCTCAGAACTCATATAAAAGTCCAGATGAAGTGGCGCCTGTCTGTTATCCCGGCACTCCTAAGGTAAAATGGGAGGCGGAGAGGGGAGAATCCCCTAGAAGCTCACACATCAGCTAGTCTGGAATACAGCATGCAGCAGCAAACAGGAAAGACTCTGCCTTCAAACAAAGAGGAAGGCGAGGACTGGCATTCAAGAATATCTTCCTCCACAGGCGTGCCATGGCATGTGGGCACCCTCACACAAAAACACATACATATACTTCACGTACATGTAAGTAGATAAATATTTTTAAAACATAAAAAAACAAAGTGTTGGTCATTGAATAATTGTGTTCATCATATTTCAGTCACTGTTACAAAATACTTGAGATAATTAATTTATAAAGAGAAAAGTTTAGGCTGGTGAGATGGCTCAGCAGGTAACTATGCTTGCAGCCAAGCTTGACAACTTTATCCCTGGAACACACATGGTAGAACGAGAGAACTAAGTCCTACAAGTCCTCTGACCTTTATGTGCACACCATGGCACACACCTTCACCCCCTCCCACACAAAATAAATGTAATAAAAAAATAAAGAGAAACACTGTATTTTGGCTTTGGTTTTAGAGGGTTCAGTCCATGCCTGGGTAGACCCACTGCTTTGGGCCTCTGGTAGGGAAGGAAGGGCTAGATGTGTATAGCAGTCATATGCCCCCCCCTCAAAAGTAAGAGAGAAAGAAGGGTCTGAGGTCCCACAGTCCCTTTCAAGAGCCCACCCACAATGGCCTAGGGAACTCCCACTGGGCCATACCTTCTCCATCAGGTTCTGTCCTGAGGCCAAGCTTTAGCACAGGGCACTGCAGTACATCCAAGATCAACTTGGAAGTATTGCTGGAACTTCTTCTTCACACAGGTGTCCCTGGTTGGCTTCCTCTTCCTGTTGGGCTTATACATCTCATCCTTAGCCTCCTGTATGGGGGGACTCTACGGAGCACCTCGGATCCTGCAGTGTATTGCCCAGGAGAAAGTGATTCCTGCACTGGCCTTTCTGGGACAAGGGGTAAGTGCCCCCAACTCTCTCTCCCCTCTCCCTCCCTCTCTCCCTCTCTCATGGCTTTTCTGATTTTTCTGATTAAAGGGTCTGGTCATTGTCTCTGGGGTGGAACAAAGCAGGGTGTAAGATGTTATTTTTTCCAGCCCTGTCCCTGAGTGTCTTAGGTAGAGCCAGTTAAATGAAACATCTCACGTGTCCCAGACACTCGGCTTCCCGGTTTTGAGCAGCAGTGAATCAGTGTCTTCTCCTTTGATTGAAAAAAAACACAAAACAAAAACAAAAACAAATTCATGGTCCTCCAAGTTCAGCATAGAAGAAAAAAAATATCTCTTGGTCAAGAGGAAACAGGAAAGCAGGTTTTTGCAGCTCTGACCCTCCAAGGCTCATTGTGTCCTAGTGGAGGGAGATGCTCATGGTGAGTCCCACAAACTGGACTCTGGGTTCTTTGTGAACCATCATAGACCAAACCTTAACTGATACTAAATAGCATGACTGAGTCATGGCTGATCAAAAGAGGCCTTCCTAAAACAACAGAAATAGACACAGGGAATCTCAAGTCTCTGTAATGTGGTTTGTAAGCCGTAATTTATTTTTGTCTTAGTCCCTTCTGATTCCCAGCCTCCATTCCAAAAGGGTGCATGTAAATCAGCGGTAATACTTCCTCCTCCTCCTCCTCTTCCTCCTTTTCTTCCTCTTCCTCCTTCTCCTTACCCCTTCCTCCCTTCCCTTCCCCTTTCCTCTTTTCCTCCCCTTCCTCCTCTTCCTCCCCTTCCTCCCCCTTTCTTCCTGTTCTATCTCCTCCCCTATTTCAGTTTTTTAAACAGGGTCTCACTATGGAACCCAGGGTGACCTTAAATTTGCTTCAATTCTCCTGCCTTGTGTCTCAATCTTCCAAACATTTCTCTATGTATGTGTGTGTATGTGTGTGTGTGTGTGTGTGTGTGTGTGTGCGCGCGCGCGCGTGCACATCTCCTTCCACCATGTGGGATACTTGTGTCTCAATCTTCCAAACATTTCTCTATGTATGTGTGTGTATGTGTGTATGTGTGTGTGTGTGTGTGTGTGTGCGCGCGCGCGCGCCACGTGCACATCTCCTTCCACCATGTGGGTTCTGAGAATTGAACTCAGATTTTTAGGCTTGGCAGCAAGTGTCATTCACCGAGCCATCTAGCTGGCCTGTTTGGTTTCTGAGACAAGTTGGCCTTGGACTTGGAATCCTCCTGCCTCCACCACTTGAATGCTAAGAGTGCAGACAATCACTACCACAGCCAGCTCCTCCTGCTCACCCAGGGCAGCATGGGCTGGGAGGAGCGGTGGTGGCCATCTCGACTACATTTCATGTATGACATGCCTTTATCTTAGTTTTCTTTTACTTCATTTGTTTTGTTTTTTTTTTTATGAGGTACAAGTGACTCAGGGTCCAAAATGGAAAATGATATAAAAGGTATCCACTGATAATTTTTACTCCTACCATGAATCTTTCTACCTATTAACCTACCCCCAACATTGTTTTTTAATCACTGTTTTTCCTTTGTTGTTTGTTGTTTGTTTTGCTGTGTTGGGAATTGAATCCAGAGCTTTGTGACTACTAAGCAAACTACCACTTAGCCATATTGGTTTTGTTTTGTGTCGTGTGTGTGTGTGTGTATGTGTGTGTGTGTGTGTGTGTGTGTGTGTGTGTGCGCGCGCGCGTGCCCATATGCACACGCACAAGCATGTGGAAGTCAGAGGTCAACTTCAGGTATCTTCCTCAATCACTGCTTCACTTTCTACCTTCTTTATTTTGTTTTATTTTTTCAGTCAGAGTCTCCCTGTAGCCCCAGCTGGCCTAGAATTGGCTGTTAACCAGGCTGGCCTTGATTTCATAGAGACCAGCCTGCCTCTGCCCCTTGAGTGCTGGGGTTAAAGGTGTGTACCACCACACCCAGATTTTTACATGAGTGCTGGGAATTCAACCTCAGATCTTCATGATTGTATGCCAGGCACTTTACTGAGCTGCCTCCCCAGGCTCCCAACTAGATTATTTTTTAAAAATATTTTATTATTTTTTAAAATATTTTATTTATTATTTTTATTTTATGTGTGTGAGTGTATTACCTGCATGTATGTGAGTGTACCCATGCTGTGCAATGCCATGGAGGTCAGAAGAGGACTTCGGATTCCCCTGGAACTGAGTTAAGGATGGTTCGTAGCCACCATATGGGTGCTGGGAATTGAACCTGAGTCCTCTACAAGAGCAGTGAGTGCTCTTAACCACTGAGCCATCTCTCCAGCCCCTATTGTCATTTTTTAAATTTTTCTATGTGTATGCATGTATTGCCCGCATGTCGGTAAATGCACCCGTGTCGTGCAATGCCCTCAGAGGACAGAAGAGACTGTCGGAGTCCCTGGACCTGGAGTTATAGGCAATTGTTAGCTGCCATGTGGGTGCTGGGATTCAAACCCGAGTCTTCTGCAAGAACAGTGTTTTTTTTTTTTTTAATTACACCACTAATATTTAATTTTATTTATTTTTTATTTTATGTGTATGCATGTATTGTCTGCGTGTAGGTAAGTACACCCTTGTCCTGCAATGCCCGTGGAGGTCAGAAGAGGCCGTCAGATCCCCTGGGACTGGAATTACATACAGTTGTTAGCTGCCATGTGGGTGCTGGGACTTGAACCTGGGTCTTCTGCAAGAATAACCAGTGCTCTTAACCACTGAGCCATCTCTCCAGCCCCAGAACAGTGTTCTTAAATGCTGAGCCATCTCTCCAGCCCCGTCAACAGATTTTTAAATGAATCCTTCTTTTCCATATTTTTTTACACAACAGGTCATGCCCTCAGAATACTGCTTAGACCTTGCTTTTTCCCCATTTAACATAACCTAGAAATCCATCTTTTATGTGAATGTAAAGAGTTTTCTCATTCTTTTTCCATCATGTTGATGTAATATGGTTTATTTAGTCAGTTCCCTGTAGATTGATGCTTACTTGAGTGACTTCTGATAAACAGTACAGCAACGAGTAATTCTCTTCCTCTCTCTCTCCTGCATGTGACTACTATGGCTACTGTTGTGTGTATGTATGATTTTATATCTATACAGGCAGATATTTTGGATAAATATTTTTAGTGTGATGTTTTTAGAATAGCTTTCGTTTATTGAGAGTTTCATACATGTGTGCAATGATAGTATCTTGATAACGTCTACCCTCAGCTCCCTCTTCCTCTTCCTCCTTCTCCAGAAGTACCTCACTCAACACATCCCCCTCCCACTTTCTGTAACCCACTGACTCCATTTAGTGCTGTGTGATGGAATGCTGACTGATCTCAGTGGCTTGATCATGTGCAGGTAACCATAGCTGCAGAGTGTTCATGAGTGCAGTAGCCATGTTGTGTCCAGAAGATGGCATTTCACAGCACTCCTCCCCATCCTGTGGCTCTTACATTCTTTGTGCCCTCCTTCCAAAACGTTCTCTTAGCCTTTGTAGAGGTTGATACAAATGTCCCATTTAGGACTGAACAATCAACAGTCACTTATTGTCAACATTTTGATCAGTTATAAGTCCCTGAATTAACTACTGCCCACTGCAGAAAGAAATGTTTCTGACCAAGGTTAAGAGCAGTACTAATCTATTGGTATAAACATAAATATGTAGAAGGTAGTTTGATATGTCCATTTAGCAAAGCAACAGTAGTAGGTTCCCTGCTTAGAACCTATGACTTCCCCAGCCTTGGGCTTTTGTCCAGTTTATGGTACCAAGAATGAATTCTTTTCTGTGGAGCAGGCCTCAAATTCCATCAGAAAGTGGTTGGTTGCCCCCATGACAGTCATTCCACTGTTGTACCAATGGGTACATCTTGCTGGAAGGTTAGCATTGTAGCATTTAGGGTTCATTTCTGAGTAATACTATGGATGACTTTTCTCTCCCCAATGACCTGCATAGCACCTTCTGGCATTATGAAAGTTAGCCAGCAAGGAGGAAGTTTTGAGATCAGTTCCAGCTTCATTCTCTGTCCTGAAACCCAAGTGTGGTATTTCTTCAGCAATAGGGTCTTACCAACTGCTTATGATGGACAACCAAGAGCAGTGACAATAACCTGCATTGTTATGGAGGTCTCTGGGAACTCCTTACCAATAACTCGTAGGGAGGTAGCCCACACCTGAAACTGAGCTTAATAATCCGTGTCTTCTAAGCATTGCTTTCCCTACAAGGCACTCATGTTCAAACTCCTTTTTTTTGTTTTTTGTTTTTTGGCTTTTTGAAGCAGGATCTCCCTGTAGCCCCAGCTGTCCTGGAACTCACTATGTAGACCAGGCTGGCCTTGAACTCACAGAGATCCACCTGCCTCTGTCTCCCAAGTGCTGGGACTGCAGGCGTGCGCCACCACGCTCAGCTCAAACTCCTTTTTAAAAAATGTGTGTGTGTGTTTAAAAATTTAATTTTTAATTCTGTGTGCATGGGGGGGGGAGTGATGTGCATGTGCCTACAGAGGCCAGAAGAGGGTGTTGGATCCCCTGAAGCTGGAGATTGTGAGCTGCCTGATATGGGTGTTGGGCACTTAACTCAGATCCTTTGCAAGACCAGTATATGTTCTTAACTACTGAGCAATCTCTCCAGACCCTTAATTATATTTTTCAATTAACTTACAATGTAGTGAGTTCCCATACATAGCTTTAGTTAATTCTACCCCACACCTCCTCTTCTCCCCTGTCCTCCTGCCCCATCCCATCTTAAACCTTTAATCCTCAGTATTCCCCTCCCTCTACTTCCATATCACTGTGTTCTATCCTCTCACCCCTTAAGCCCCCCCAACCCCATCATGGGCCTTTTGTAGCTTCTTGACCTCTACAGACATTCCAAATTAAACATGATTCTAAGAATTTGAAACTAGGACCCATGTGTAAGAGAAAACATGAGGGATTTGTCTTTGGGACCTGGATTACTTCACTTGGTATAGTATTTCAAGTTCCATCTATTTTACATATTTCATTTTTCTTTACAGCTGAATAAAATTCCATTGTGTATATGTACCACATTTTCATTATCCATTCCTCAGTTGATGGACCTCCAGATTGATTCCATTTCCTAGCTACTGCAAATATAACAGCAGTGAACATGGATGTACAAGTATCTCTGTAAGGAGGATATCAAAGCCTTTGGGTATCTGCCCTTGGGTGGAATAGTTGCATCATATGGTGGTTCTATTTTTACCTTTTTGAGGAATCTCTTCCACACCATATGGCTACACCAATTTATACTCCCACAAACAGTGGATAAGTGTTCCCCTTTTCCCACATCCTCACCAGCATTTACTGTCATTTGTTTTCTTGATGATAGCCATTCTAACTTGGGTGAGATGGAATCTCAAAGTAGTTTTAATTTGCATTTCCCTGATGGCTAATGTGCGCATATACCAAACACACTCATACACACACAAAAAAAAAAGAAGAAGAAAAAAAAAATTGAAACCTTTCATTAGGTCAGAGCCCTCATGGTAGAGTCATCTCTGGAAATGCCGTCATAGACACACCCAGAGTTGTGCTTTACTAATCTGTGATGTGTGTCTCAACCCAGTCAAATTGAACATCAGGATTAGCCATTGCAGTAGGATTCTGCTCTGGCCTTTGGGTGGAAGAAGTTGATGAGGCCAAAGGAAAATGTCTGCCTAGCTATGTCCAGGAATGCTGCTTCCTAGAATTTCCTACCCAAATGGGCCCCAGCCTACCTCCACAGTCTGCAAGGGCCTCTCACCACCTAGATAGAGCCAAGGCATGGTTGAGAGTCCATATACGAGTGTGAGTACCCCCACCAAATGGTCTGAAAAGAGAAGGGGTAGGCCCTGAACTGGAGGCGATATATGGCCATCTGCTAATGAAGTCTACACTGGAGCCTGGCCTTCCTCATTATCATGTGGGAATGTTTGCCAAGGAAACAACATAGATATATCTGGTCAGCACGTTATTAGCTTGGTCTGTAACTGTAAATATTTAGACACAGGTGTATGGAATCTCATTTGCACTATTACCTTGAGTGATAGTGTCAGCAAGGACCCTGTCCTGGCTCATTGTTAAATGAGACTTTTTGCCAACCATATAGTAAGAAAGAGCCTTTCGAAATACTGAGATTTACATTTCCCTTATCCTGAATGAGGTTGTGTATCTTTTCTTCTGTATGATAGCTATTTGTATTTGTGTGTGTGTGTGTGTGTGTGTGTGTTGGGTGTGTATCTTTTTTTTTGTATGATAGCTATTTGTATTTGTGTGTGTGTGTGTGTGTGTGTGTGTGTGTGTGTGTGTGTCCTGTAATTATTTTCAACTTCTAAAAGCTCTTTGGTAGGGAAGTTAGCTCTTTTTGATCCATATCACAGATAATTTTCCTTGTTTGTCATGTGTCTTTTAACTTTGGAAGTCCTTTCTCCCCCAATAAAATAAAAAGCTTCTTCATGGGCTGGAGAGATGGCTCAGTGGTTAAGAGCACTGACTGCTCTTGCAAAGGACCCAGATTTGATTCCTAGCACCCACATGGCAACTACAAACCGTCTTTAACTCCAGTTCCAGGGAAATCCAATGCCCTCTTCTGACCTCCGAGGCATTGTACGACATGGGTGCACTCATATACATGCAGGCAGTACACTAATACACATAAAATAAAAATACTAAATAAAATGTATTTTTTATAAAAGATTCTTCATCTATGATTGGCTTGCATTCACTTATTCTCTTTTTTTAATGGAGGAAAATTTAAACACATTTTGAGACATATTCAACATATAGAAATGGGCATAAAATTGATGTAAATAGCTTTAAGAATAACTGTGAGGTAAACACCCTGTAGCCTCTACCCAAGAAGTCTGCCAGCCACATACTCTCCTCCCCACGCTCCTCCTCTCTCTCACTCCATACCCATTGACTTCTGCCAGAATAATTTCTTTGCTTTCTTTATGGCTTTTTCTCAGGTGTCTGCAGACTTTTTTTCTGAAGTGTCAAGGAATATCTGCTTTATTCAGTTTCAGTCTCTGTGGCCTTTGTCACCACTATATAGTTTTGCAGTTGGAGCTCGACAGTTGCCACATATAATACCTGATCCTTTACTTATGGACCCAAATCTGAATTTCGTGGAATTCTCTTATGTAACAAAATGTTCTTTTTATTTTTCCCCCAACTGTTTAAAAATGTAAAGCTATTTGTAGCTCATGGCATAAACAGGCAGCCCTGGATTTGGCTTAGGTACCACAGCATGCAACCCTGAATTCCTCCATATGCATCTCTGTTTGTTTTGTATTTGGGGATATTTCCATATACATAGTGAAATATCTTGGAAATGGTAACCAACTCTAAACACTAAATTCATTTGTATTTCATATACACCTGTCTACATAACCTGAAGGTAATTTTGCACAACATTCTTAGAAATTTTAGGCATGAAATGAAGCGCCATAATGTTGGATTTCCCACTTGTCATAACAGCACTCAAAAAGTTTCAGATTTTGGAGCATTCCAGCATTTCAGATATAGAATGTTTGCACTAAAGATACTTAGTCTGTAAATGGAATTGTGTGTGTTCATGCGTGTGTGCGCGTGTATGCATGTGTGTGCATATGTGTACATGTATGCATGTGTCTATGTGTGCTTGCATGTGCATATGTGTGTGTGTGTGTGTGTGCGCACGCACGTCTGCATGCTATGCTTGGTCACTCACCGCTATGCTGCTGAGGCTCTTCATTTTTACTCGTTTGTTATTTGGAGTCGTATGGATAATGTGATGAATGTCCTTGTAAGCATGGACTTCTTCCACACTACATTCGCATTCCTGGAATTGCAAAATTGCTAGGTGTGGCTGTCTTCACTTACTAGGTAACACCAAACTCCTTTTCAAGGTGTTTATACTAATTTACACTCTTATCAGTAATAGATGGCACCTTCTAGTCCTCAATATTTTTGCCAATACTTGATATTATCAGACTTTTACATGTTTGGTACTCTGGTTAATGTTCAAAAGTACCTCACTGTGGTTTAAATTTGTGTTCTCTAATTACTAATGAGGTTGGGCAACTTTTCATATGGTTGGTAGTCTTTTGCAAAGTACTGGTTCAGATCCTTTACTCATTTTGTTAAGTGGGCTCTCTTTAAATTTTTTTATTAAATTATATTTATTTATTTGTGTATGTAGGTATGTGGTGATCAGGGGACAACTTTCAAGAGTTGCTTCTCTTCTCCCACTGTGTGGGTCCCAGGAATCAAACACAGGTCATCAGGCTTGATGGCAAGCTCCTTTACCCTCTGAGTCATCCTACCCACCCTTTTTCCAATTATTTTATAGAAATTCATTGTATATTGTAGATATCTTTTGCCAGTTATATGTTTTGCAAATTCTTTTTCCCATTCTGCAGCTTGTCCTTTCATTTCTTCTTGGCATCTTTTGGTGGAGAGAGGTCCTTGCTGGCCTGTTTTATCTCTTCATAGTCTACCTGTATCACAATCTTGGCCTGGACTACTGTGTTCTTCAGTGTACCCAAGACGCCTTTTAAAGTTCTCCTGTGTTTCTGAGGATTTAGTTGATTTGCAGTTATTGTATTATTAGAATCTGTTAACAGCTTTAACAAATGTACCCAAAAGTAATTCTCAAACATAAAAGTTTTTTTCCAACGCCCCCCCATCTTCTTCCTTCTCTTCTTCTTAGATTGTTCCAGGGAAGGTGTCTCGGGTTTGCATGGGTTCCGATCCTTAGAAGCTCAGGCTGACTTCAGAGAGTTCTGGGGATTGCTTTAGGGTGGAGGTTCAAAGTTAGGAGGTGCTTCCATAAAGCTAGTGTTTAAAACCATGAGTCTGGGTTAAATCACCTAGGGATTGAGTCTAGGTGGAGAAGAGAGAGGTCTAGGGGGTGAAGCCTGGGCCCACTTTAACTGCAGTGCTCTGAGACATGGAGAACTGGTTAGGGAGACTGAAATGGAACAGCCAGTGGAGAGGGAGACACATGGAGAGAAGCTGGGGGAAGGCTTTCAGAGAGGAGAGGGATCAGCTGGACCAAGTGAAGTTTTTAGGCAAAGATGAAAGGACCAAGAAGTGAATACTGCTTTGAGCCCAAGAACCTTGTCAGTGGCTATGATAGTTTAAAAGAGAAGCAGTTAGCACATATTCCCAGTCCTGACCCCTCCTCCATGAATGCCAGGTGTGTATAATCATGTGTGCACTTGTTCATGCACTTGTGCCTCTATGTTAGCAGAATTCCCTTGCTCAACCACCGGTGATTCTGCTGTGACTTCTGGGAGCACACAGACCCCTTGTCCCTGAGCTATGCACCCAGCCTGGGGCCAGTGGAGAAGATCAGTGCTTTAGAATTACACTGGGGCCTCCCGTTTCAGGGTGTTAAACCCAAAGACTTCCAGTTATACAGTAATGCCCTGGGTTAATACTAATAGAATCCACACCCATGGCATTTAGGAGGCTACTGCATGTCAGTGCTGTGTTAGCATTTTCATGATTAGCTTTTATTTCACAATGACCCTGTGAGTTGGGTATTACTATCCCAAGTGTACAGATGAACAATCTCATGGAGAGAAGTTCCTGAGACATTATATCTGGTTTCTATCATTTAATCCTAAAATTTCTGAAACTTTCTATCTGAAATTTCAAGGTCCTATATCTTATTTTGTTCCTGCAGAAGGGGCCAAATAAAACTCCCGTGGGAGCCATCTGCCTGACTAGCTTGGTGACCATGGCCTTTGTCCTCGTGGGTCAGGTGAACGTCTTAGCACCCATCGTCACCATCAACTTCATGCTGACCTACATCGCAGTGGACTACTCTTACTTCTCCTTATCCATGGCTCACAGAAGCCTCCCCCAGGTGCCTGAGCCAGTGCTCAGAGAAAGTCCAGGAACTCTGTCCAGCTCTGAGCACCTGCTCCAGGAGAAGCCTCCCAGCTATGGCTCTGACAGCCCTTCCAGAAGTCTCTCTGAGGGTACTCTGCTAGAATTCACCAAGGACATGGATCAGCTCCTCCAGCCAACCAGGAGACTTGAGAGTAGCCAGACTGGGTCAGGAGAGGGAAACAGGGTCCCAGAGAGGCAGAAAAGGAAACTCAAGAAGGCCACCAAGCAAACTCTACAAGACAGCTTCCTCTTAGACCTCAAGTCTCCTATATTCTTCCCTGCTGAGGACCCTGACAAGCCGCTAACTGCTTCCTGGGAGAGGCAAGAGTCCTATCAGAGCCTGCGTACTTTTGGGAATGAATGGACTCACTGTGGCGGAGCACCTGGCCAACTTGTTCCTGAACTGGGCATCCAGCCAAGTGTGAGTAGAGAAGGTAAGGATTTGGGAAGTACATTGGGGCCTCCTATTTTGGAGTAACCACTGGTTACTTTGCCTACCCAGTTATTACAACCTAGATTTATAACCTTTGGTAATTTTAATATTTATTTCAAAATGTTGAAATGTTGTTGCCAGTTAAATTATTTATAATCCTACCCTGTTTATTTTAATCAGAAAGGCCTATTCCTGTGTATATGAGCTGGGAGCCAGCGCTAGAAACTGAGTTATCATTTTCCTTTCACTCAAAATTCCGCTGAGGTATAAGCCACTAAATCAGACCAGTTTATTCTTTGATGAGGACTCTTCTTACTGCTTGGTGAGGACTTGCTATGTGTTTTTGATAAGAGATGTAATTTAAGGAGGGAAGGATTTATTTTGGTTTTCAGTGTGAGAAGTGTCAGCCTCTACTCGGCTAGCTCTGTTGCTTTTAACCCTGTGGCAAGCCAGGAGCATCACGGTAGAAAGAAAACAGCAGGAGAAAGACACCCACCTTATGGCAGCCAGGAAGCAGAGAGTAAAATAGGAAGGATACACCCTAGTGACATACTCCTCCAGCCAGGCCCTACCTCTCGATAGCCCATTCAGTATCAATCCATCAGTGTAATCCATTGATGAAGTTAGCACCCTCGTAATCCAGTCACCTCTCAATAGCTCTACTAGCTAGGCACCAAGCTCTCAGCATCTGAGGCTTTTAGGGGGCACTATTTATTCATATCATAATAATAGATTAAGTTGATTGCTTCAGGTATTTTTTTCAGCAACAGAAAGCTGGCTTATACAGTCTGTTACTTAAGGTAGTAAGTACAATAAATATCATTGCACTTTTTCCATTTTATAAATGAAGACCCTGTGGTCCAGTGAGGTCATAGAAAAGTCACAGAGCTTATTCTTTCTGCAACTTGACATACCCACCAAGTAACTGTATTTAAAGTCTAGATACTTTGTATTACACACCATCTCCTGTGATCTGTACTATCCATTCTTAGCATATTTTCCTGTGATCCAAGATGTGGCAGCTGGAGCTTTGCCATCACATCTTATTCTAGGCAATATGAAAAGGAAAGGAAGAAGAACAAGAGTGAGTCTCCAAACTAAGTCACTTGGGAGGCCTTCCGTAAAGGTTTCATTCTGCCTTGCTGTGATTCTGTGGTTGTTATGTGATTTATTATTGTTATTATTTCTTTTTTATTTAGTTATGTGATTAACACAAGCTGCAAGAGAGGCTGGCAGGTGTTCTGTTGTTGGTTTTGGTTTGTTTGGGTTTTTTGTTTTTGTTTGATTTTTAGTTTTTGAGACAGGATCTCACCATGTAGCTGTCCTGGAACTCACTGTGTACACCAGGTTGGCCTTGAACTCACAGAAATCCACCAACGTCTGCCTCCCGAGTGCTGGGATTAAAGGCATGCACCACCATGCCCAGAGGCAGATGCCTTTTTACCTTATAAAAATGCCGGTGCCAGCCGGCCAAGACGGACAGTACCTGAAAGGGGGAGTGAAGATTGAAAGAAAAAACAAGAGACAGAGAAAAGATACTTGGGAGGACTGTCAGTAGAGACTGCAGCCCCAGTTTATTTTAGCTCAGCCTTTTTATACAGAAGAACATCAGAGATAGCCACCGGTTTGCTTAGCTCAATTAGCTTCAACAGCTGTTTTTCCCACCTGTATCTGAGGGTCAAGGAGCGGTCAAATACTTGTGAACTCCACCATATAAACACATTCCTCCTGACTTAGCAGATTAGGTACTGGTGTGCAAAACACAAACTCTAAGTAAACAAGCAAGCCTGCCACAGCTCAATGTACATAATGGCTGCGCTTGTATCAATAGCTCCCAACATCAAAAATTATGAGTTGCTTGTTTTCTTTATCAGGATGGAGATAAAGTGGCAACTGTCAAGTCTATGTCACAATTACAGTGTTAATTTCCAAGCTCTTTGGTTGTAACCTGATTCACCTGGTTTTTTGTTTTTTGTTTTTTTGGTCTTTTTGAGACAGGGTCTCCCTGTAGCCTCAGCTGTCCTGGATTCACCATGGAGACCAGGCTGGCTTTGAACTCACAGAGATCCCCCTGCCTCTGCCTCCCAAGCGCTGGGATTAAAGGTGTGCGCCACCATGCCCAGCCTCACCTGTATTTTTACTTTTAAAAAAATTCGAACATTGAGCAGGGTTTGGTGGTGCACGCCTTTAGTCCCAGCACTTGGGAGACAGAGGCAGGCGGATCTCTGTGAGTTCAAGGTCAGCCTGGTCTACATAGTGAGTTCCAGGACAGCTGGGGCTATAGAGAGACTGTGCCTCAAAAAGACCAAACAACAACAACAAAAAAAAACATCATCCATTCTTGTTTTATGGATATAACGGATTTCACTTTGTCCTTGATGGACTTCATTGCTCGCTCTTCTCCTCTTAAAGAAAGCAGCAGTTTGTCTGCTCCAGACACTGTTCTTCTTTTCACTTGATTTTTGCTTTTATTATCTCTCTAAATTCTTTTCACCACTCTTTCCCTCTCTCCCTCCCTCTCTTCCTACCTCCTTCCCTCTTCCTCCTTTTTCCCTTCTTCCTTTACTGCCTCCCTCCTTTTCTCCTTTATTTAGAGACTTTTATTGGAGTATCTATCTTTCCATACTTATAAGTGAAGTATACTTGGCCCTCTGTATCTGTATCTACATCTATAGAACATTCAATCAACTACAGATGAAAAATATTTGGGAAAAAGTTGAATTGCTTCTGTCTTGTCCTGTATTGGTCCTATGGTGATTGTGTTTATACTGAGCTTGTACATTATTACTATGGTTTGATCCTTATTCACTAAATTATAGTTTAATAGTTAGTTATATAATATTCACATCATAACAGGTTCTATAAGGAATGCAGAGATAATTCAATATATGGGAGAATGCTTGTAAATTATGTGCAAATGTTTTATAATGTGAGATAGGAATTTTAGTATCCATAGGGGATCCTGAAACAACTTTCCAAATGGATGCCAGGGGACAGGTGATTGTACTGAGAAACCACTTGGAAGACCTGAACATGGCAGGGCTTGCTGGTTAGGGCACCTTACTGCAGAATGATTGGGAATAAGCTGGCCTCTTCATTGGCGCAAATATGAAGAGCAAGAGGGTTTTCTCTGGAGTTCCTTTGTTCTTTTTGAGTCTAATCTGTGGGGAGGGGAGTCACAGATGTTGACATTCATTCTGGGAGTACAGTGAAATGAGGGAGCTGGGGAGTCCTATTGTATAGGGGTAGCCTTCAGCTCCCCCATTCTTTGTTGCTTCTGTGCCAAGTGTAGACACACTGGCTGGATTTCTTCATAGGAAAACCACCTTGGGTAGGAGGTTGCAAAAGAAGGGGTTGATTTGTGGCTTCATGGGCAGAGGAGAGGATCTTAGTATACAGTAGATACGGATCTGCCACCAAACCCCCAGTCCTAGTCAGCTTGTGAGACATGACACGTCCTAGCCCTGAGCTTTGCTCCCCCCCCGCCCCCGCCCATAGATTGGGAGTCTCCTGTCTTTGAGACCTGGAGTTCATCTCTTCCCCTCTGCTCAGGCTGTCCCCACTGTCACCTCTCTACCTTCCAAGCCTTGTTTCTGTCTTCTCTTTGTTTGGGGGGTTTGTGCGTTTTTATCTTTTGAGTGAGTTTTAGGAGAGATATGTGGTCAGTCTGTGATTTAGTCTTTAAATTTACCTTTATGTATTCATTTAGAGAGAGAGAGAGAGAGATCCTGTGCCATGGCAAATGTGCTATGTGCTGGCGTAAAGGTCAGAGGACAAGCTACAGGAGTCAGTTCTCTTCTTCTACCATGTGGATCATGAGGACTGAACTCACGTCCACCTCCAGCTTGGTGACAAGTACCTTTACTCACTGAATCTGTGACTTTTTTTTTTTAATGAATGAAGTGGCCACTACCCAGCCACCCAGTCTTACAAATGCCAGAGCTCTGGTTGGCTGCTCCCTCCGTCTTCCTCTTTACTGCCCTTTCCTTAGGGCAGACACTCTTTGTCACATGTTTGTACTCTTGCCACATCCCCACACCAGTGTCCCACCTCCAGACTCTCCCTGATCCTGCTCCATGCACTACTCATGAAATGGCCTTTCCCTGTTGCTTAGAAACCTTTGCCAGAATCCCACCCCTTTTATTAAAATCCAGCTCTGTGTCCTGTGCACAGTTCCTCACAGTCCTGCCTTCACCTACCTCTGGGCCACATACTCTTGACAACTCATGCAGTGTGAATTGCCACTGAACCCAAACTAGGGCCCTAAATTCATCTTGTTCTACTCCTACCTGCCTTGTATATCCTGTGCTGTCTCCTCTGATCACTTCCCCTCCTCCTCCTTTCTCTACTCAGAAAAGTCTGAAGCTGTTTAAAGCCCATTTGATTTTTTTTTTTTTTTTTTTGAGACAGAGTTCACTGGCTGTTCTACAACTTGCTATGTAGACCAGGCTGGTCTTGAGATCACAGAGATCCACCTGCCTCTGCTTCCATGTGCTGGGACTAAAGCACCATGCCCCGTCCCCATCTGAATTTTTGAAGACTTTTACTTGTTTTTCTTCTTTCCAGTTCTGGGAATCAGACCTAGCCTCTTATGTGTGCTAGGCAAATGTTCTACCACTGAGCTATACCTCCAGCTCCAAGACTTTCACCTTTTTTTGAGAAGAACTTACAGAGTTCTTTCAGGGTACAACTATAACATTTAATTCATATGAATGGCTTAAACTATCGTGTTTAATGACTAGTACATTTGTATCGCATTTGTTTACACATTGGTGTCCAGGCCTATTCATCTGCTTGTGTTAGGGAAAATGATCATTTGTTTTCTTCCTTTGCCATTAGACTGTGAGCTTCCCTGGATTACACACTGGGCCTTTTCACCTTCACATCCATCACAACATTTCTACCTAGTATGAGGGACACAGGAAACATGGTAAAGCTTAGTTAGATAGAAGAGGGGATGTGGCCCCAAATTGAAACACTAATCAGTAAAATAGAATACAA